GTCCCGGAGGTGTTCCCCTGTCCCCAGGGGTGTCCCCGTGTCCTGGAGATGTCCCCCTGCCCCAGGGGAGTCCCCATGTCCCCAGGGGTGTTCCCATGTCCCGGAGGTGTTCCCCTGTCCCCAGGGGTGTCCCTGTGTCCTGGAGATGTCCCCCTGCCCCAGGGGTGTCCCCCTGTCCCGCCGGGGTGTCCCCGCCGCGCTCACGTTGCTGGTGGCACAGAACTGCCGCTGCCCATCCTTGATCTCGGGGGTGAACTTCTGCAGCAGCGCCTTCTGCACCCGCCAGATCGGCGGCGGCTCCCGGCCCGTCTGCAGTGCCAGCTGTGGGGGGGGGGTCAGCACGCCCCCAGGCCCCGCACCCCCCACGGACCCCCGGGGACCCCCCAGGACCCACCGGGACCGCCCGGGAGCCCCCGGGATCCACAGGCCTGCTCCAGCACTCCCTGCTCCCTCCTGGAGACTCCTCAGTCCCTCCCACAGACTCCCAGCTCCTCCCAAATCCCTTCCCAGGCCCTCCCAGTCCATTCCAAGCCCCTCCCAGAGACCCCCAGTCCTCCCCAGTCCCTTCCAGTCCCTCCTAGAGACCCCCAGTCCCTTTCAGAGTCTCCCAGTCCCTTCCAGAGCCCCCCAATCCCTTCCCAGTCCATTCCCAATCCTTTCCAAAGACCCCCAGGCCCTTCCCAGTCCCTCCCAGTCCTTCCCAGTTCCTCCCAATCCCAGTCCCTCCTGGATCCCGCCGTGTCCCCGTCCCTCCCCAATCCCAGCCCCAATCCCAATCCCAGTCCCTGTGCCCGCGCCGGTCGCCGGGGCACCTTGAGCGCCTGGATGTCCTCGACGCGCACCACGAACTCGTCGCGCTCGCGGAAGATGCCCTCGCCGCCGCTCTCGGCCTCGTCCTCGTCCGTGTCCCCGCACACGGCCGCCGTCTCCTGCTTCTTGGCCAGATGCAGCGGCCGCGCCGCCTCGGCCTCCTCGCGCTCGGGGGACGCAGGGGGGGCGGCCGCGGCGGGGGGCGGCGGCGACGCCGGCAGCGCCGCTGACGTCACTGCCGCCGCTGCTGACGTCACCGCTGACGTCACCGCCGCTGAGGTCACTGTCACCGCCGAGGTCACCGCCGCTGAGGTCACCACTGGTGACGTCACTGCTGATGTCACCACGGCCACGGGGGGCTCGGGCTGCGACCCCTCCGAGGGCGCCGGGCTGGGGGGCTTCTCCTCCACCGGGGGGACGTCTGCAGGGAGGGGGGCAGGGTTGAGGGGCGCCTAGGGGTCCTGGGCGCCACCCAGGTACCCTGGAGGGGTCCATGGACACACAGGGGACCGGGGAGGGGGCACCTAGGGGTCCTGGAGGGGTCCAAGGGACATACAAGGGGACCAGGGAGCACCCAGGGAAGTTCTGGGGATCCCCAAAGGGTCCCGGGGCCACCTAGTACTCCCTGAGGCCACCTGAGCACCCTAGAGAGACAGGTCCAAGACCCATCATGTGGAAACAAGGGGCATCTGGAGGACCCAGGAGGGTCCCTGGGGTCACCTAAGAGTCTCTGCGGTCCCCTAAGGGTCGCTGGGGTCACCTAAGGTCCCAGGGTCCCCTAAAGGTCCCAGGAGCCACCTGAGAGTCCCTGGGGCCACCTGAGGGTCCCCAGTGCCACCTAAGGTCTCAGGAGCCACCTAAGGGTCCCTGGGGTCCCCTAAGAGTCCCAGGAGCCACCCGAGGGTTCCTAGGGCCACCTAAGGTCCCAGGAGCCACCTAAGGTCCCTGGGGTCCCCTAAGGGTCCCGGGAGCCACCCGAGGGTCCCAGGACCCACCCAAGTGTCCCTCGTGCCACCACAGCCCCCCGGCAGCTCACGGGGTCCCGGGGCGCAGCGCGGGACCGGGGGCACCCACCGGGCGGCTCAGGGTCCTTGCGGTCGCCGGGGTCGTACAGGGCCGAGATGGCGGACGAGATGCTCTTCTGCAGGTCCTGGTTCTTGCTCACCGAGTCCTCCTCGTCCGAGGAGAAGGAGGGCAGCGTCTCCAGGTTGCGCTTGAGCTCCTCGTCGAGCCGCTTGCAGGGGCTGGCGCAGGCCATGACGAGCCCGTCGCCGTCGGCGCCGTCCAGCGCCGGCGCCAGCACCGGC